AATCGTCTCTCCCCTCCTAATTAACATTAAGGAATGAAACTAATGCTGTCCGATAGAGAATTAAATTCCCCATCCTTCAACCCCCGCTTCATTTCTTAATGTTAATTAGGAGCAGAGATGCGATTTTTTAATTAGCGGGCGAGTTGTCGGGAGTCACTGCGCCGAGAAACCATTGAGTTTTTCATAGCGCCGCGAATTTCGTCGCAGTTTTTATTTTTTTATTACAGAGATTAAGGAATGAAACGGGGGTTGAAGGATGGGGAATTTAATTCTCCATTGAACAGTCTTTGTTTCATCCCTTAATATTAATTAGTCGGCGAATAAATCAACTGAAAAACATAAAGTAAACATTGAGTACAAGGAGGACAAGAACCGCCATCCGAACCTGTTCCTGTCACAGCGGGATTGCTACTGCCGAGTTACTCACGCACCCGACTCACATTTACCGACAATTCGACCGGGACGCCGCCTTTCCCGTGGGGTACCAACTAACATTTTTGGAGTCAGTCAAACCCCCCGATCCGGGCAGAGATAATAGGGGAGATTGCTCAGGCTTATGGGAACTGTTCTATCAGAGTATCTTAGCGGTGGCGCGCATGAACTAATCGAGAGGCCGTCCCTGTGGGTAAAGAAATTTTCATCTATTACCATGAAAACAGTCGATAACAGGGATGCGTTCCCAATCTTAAATCCAACATGAAACTTCCTTTGCATTCACTCATCCGCTTGATTATCCCATTTTCGTTCATACAACTTCTTATTGTCTTAATTTGTAAATTAGTTGATCATAAAGGAGAGGGAGAGAAGGAATTATGAAGTCTTGAGCGAAAGAGGATCATTTATTTGAATTTCTATACAACTAGATCTTTAATAAAAAAAAACATACGAGCAATTCATCTTATTCACATTTATTACATATTTTGTCAGTGATACAAAGGTAATGAATGAATTTCAAATTATTTTGATGAGAAATATATTCAATATTTGTGAGAGATTATATCTCAACAAATCTCATACACATAATGGGATTAAATCAATAATAATAGATTAACGAATGAGACTTTTCGCAGATTATTGCGAGATTTAAATGAATGGTTTGCATTCTTCAGTGACCATAAAAAATTGTCTCCAATCGACAATATCTCCCGATGGAATGGAACGATGTGAATGAATCAATTGATACTTAAGTATCAATTTGAATCTTTAAAAAATTAATCGAGAGTGAAAAAAAATCAGGGAATTTAACTCTGCCATTATGGAGTTTTTGACGAGTGAAGTTTATTCACTGTACTCTGACATTTCTCTATTGTCTGTATTTACCGAGAAAAAAAAACGTTGTTCCTAGGAATCGATGTGTCTTTTTTAGGCAGCTGCATTTCTGAAATGCAATGAGCAAGCAATGTTAAAATTAAGTCATTTTGTAAAAAATTTCTAGTGACATGATCCTGAAAATCAAAGGAATGTCTTGAAATCAGGAATGATGTCTGTAAGTTTCAGTAATATTTTCGCAGAAATTCCGGGAACTTATTGGGAATTTTTATAGCGTTGCCGTAATACGGAAATTTCAAGGAATTTCGTCATTGCAAATTAAAAATTTCTATAAATTTCAGTCCAATTATATGTGTACGTCCACGTGAAAAGGGCCCACTTTGTCGCATCTAATTTCCGAGATATTCACGTTTTTCTCTCCTCTCCATTTATCCCAAAGTTAAATTGATTTTTTGATCTTCTATACGGACGTCACACGGAGAAAAATAAATCGGTAAAAGTCTTGTGATCGCAAGGAGTTTCCCGAAGATCCCCATTTTTCATGCACGAAGAACAATGAAGCTTTTTGGAATCTTCGGGAAATTCTATTCTATCCTACTCAAGTAGGAGCGGAGGAATGAATTTTCAAAAGTGCGGACTAACCGGAGGGGCTCCTCCGATAGGGAAATTCATTTCTCCCCCCCCCAATTACGATGAAAGAATGAAAGCAATATCTATCGATGGAGAATTATATTCTCAATAAATTACAGCGGTTTCATTGCTTAATCTTTATTAGGAGAGGAGGAATGAATTTTCAAAGCGTGCAGTAACTCCGGACAAGTTCTTCTCATTCAAAAATCAATTTCTCGCCTCCCTAATTGAGATGAAGGAATGAAACCAAAGCTTACCGATTGAGAATTATATTTTTATTAAATGACATCGGTGTCATTTCTTAATCTCAGATAGGAACGGAGGAATAAATTTTCAAAAGCGCGGAGAAACCTCGAACGGTGAGCCCGGAGGGGCTCCCCCGATTGGAAAATTCATTTCTCCCCCCCCCCCTAATTGAGAGAAGGGAATGAAACCGACGCCGATCGATCGAGAATTAAATTCTCAATGAATGACAGCGGTTTTATTCCTTAATCTCACGTAGGAGCGGAGGAATGAATTTTCAAAAGCGCAGAGTAACCCCGAACGGCTCTTCGGAGGGCCTCCCCCAATTGGAAAAGTCATTTCTCCCCCCCTAATTACGATGAAAGAATGAAAGCAATATCGATCGATGGAGAATTATGTTCTAAATAAATGACAGCGGTTTCATTGCTTAATTTCTATTAGGAGAGGAGGAATGAATTTTAAAATCGTGCAGTAACTCCGGACAAGTTCTTCTCATTCAAAAATTAATTTCTCCCCTCCCTAATTGAGATGAAGTAATGAAACCAAAGCTTACCGATTGAGAATTATATTTTTAATAAATGACATCGGTGTCATTTCTTAATCTCAGTTAGGAACGGAGGAATGAATGTTCAAAAGCGCGGAGAAACCCCGAACGGCTTTCCGACGTCGAGTGAGCCCGGAGGGGCTTTCCCGATTAGAAAATTCATTTCTCCCTCCCTAATGAAGATGAAGGAATGAAACCGGNACGGCGGTTTCATTCCTTAATCTCAAGTAGGAGCGGAGGAATGAATTTTCAAAAGCGCGGAGAAACCCCGAACGGATCTCCGACTAGTCCAATGAACGTCGGTCTAACATACGAATGTTTGCGATACAGGCTCCATTTTTTATGGAATTTGTGATTTGGGCGTATGAAACTGATGGCGGATATTTAAGGTTCCCCAAGTTTGTGCGGGGGTTGAAAAAGCCAAAAAACTACCCCTGAAAACAGTTTTTTCGAAATAACTCGTGAATAACGCGCTGTGCGTCCAAAAACGTACTACACAAAGTTGTAGAGATCAAAATTCTACACAAAAAATGTTTAGGGCACTTTACCCTTATTCGCAACCGTTCATCCCCCAGAGCCGCGTGAAGATCAGATGGAAAAAAAAAATGTTTTCCATTAAAAAAATTGAAGTTGATGAATTTTTTTTTTTGTAATTCGGAATATCGATGTTTTTTTTTTCAATAGCTTATTTATTTATTCAGAGCGAATCTAATATATGTTGCTATTTATATCTTGACATTGAATGAATGAATTTCTTTTTTTTTCCATATTTTTTATTAGAAAATTTACCACAAATTTTGTCTTGATCGTACCC